GGTTTGTGGATCATTAGACTGGTTTTCTAGAAAATGCAATTTTAAAGTATTGATTTCATTAAACAAATCAATACCGTCAATGTCTGTTTCGCTACTCGAATCGTCTTTAAGCTTCAGATTTAAATCCTAACCAAGTTAAAATATCATTAATTATACTTAGACCCATGTCAGAAGAATTATTAACAAAATAATTGCAATTTGATACGCGATAGAACTGTTCGAAAGCGTACAAGTACAAATTGAGAAGAAGCTCTGTGGGGATTCCCTAATTTCTCTAGTCCTGTCAACTTCTGTAATAGAGCACGACTATGAGTACTTGGCTTTCGGGCGCCGCCGGATGGTTCAACCTGCCGACAGACGTTTCGCATTGCATCTTAATTCTGATAAATGCCAATAGAGGCGCTGTTAACGCTATAATATAGGCTAAATAAGAATATTGTAATCGCGCTCCGGTCGGATTTTTTTCTCTTTGCGAAGACATTTCTTATGCTATAAGTGGGGTGAGTATTGAGACAATGACTTTGAATATTACGTGACAGATCGCTCGATTTGCCGCCCCCTGGACGTGCCGCCCGCGTGCGGTGCACGCCTTGCACGCCCGCTTACGGCGGGCCTGGTTTTATTTATTTGTGTGAGCGAAGATTATGCCAACTCTAAAACGACAAATTCTTGGCACAAAACACTGTGAAGTGCTTTTATTTATGACACTCTAGACCAGTGTTTCCCAACCTTTTTTGTGCTATGCCCCACCAAAGCCTTTCTAAAATTCTCATGTCCCCTAACATTATACAGTGACTATACCAGGCATGGCCAACATATGGCCTGTCTAATGAATTTATGTGGCCCGCAATTAATCTTCCAATATTAGCTACTCAAGTCCGAATAGCTCGATGAAAAATTCTGATGCCTAAAATAAAAAAAAGGTCAACAGCTCATTTTCAAATTGCCCCCCTTAACAATCAAATTGCCCCCTCGTGGTGCGTGGGCCCCACGTTGGGAAACACTGCTCTAGACAATTCATCATCAGCTAATATTGGGTCTATAGATAAAGTATGTGGGTATTGCAGTGGTCTGAAGTGGAAGAATGAATCACAGGGGATTTGCTGCCCTTCTGGCAAAGTTAAACAGGATGTTGTACTTGCTCCCGAACTTTCTCTGTCACTATTAAATGGGACTCATCTTGACACTAAACATTTTTTAAAGCATAATAGGGCCTTCCAAATGACAAGTTTTGGTGCCACTGAAATACTTGAAAGAAATTTCATACCAACATTCAAAATTGAAGAACAGATATATCATCTAATATAGTACCATTAATCCCGACAAACTACCCATTCGAATATAAATGACTACAATTTCCAGTCGGTCTATGTTTTGCAATGACTATTAACAAGTCTCATGGCCAAAGCCCAAGAGCTGTGGGACTTGATCTGGGATGCAGTTGCTTTTCACATGGCCAACTCTGTTGCGTGCTCACGTATTAGTAGCTGCAAATCATCTGTTCATTTGTGCTTCTGATGATAAAACACGAAATGTTGTATATCGAGAGGTTATTCAATAAGTTTATCTAGAAAATATTCCACACCTTTAATAGGAATATAATGAATCTGTAACACAATTCTCTGAAGATATACTCTTTAGGTAAGTAAATACAATTTCACCAAATAAATACCTCCCGTCAACACGGGTACAGTACATACAATCCCTCTTTGTTTTATCAAGGGGGAAAAAAACTCACTAATTTGTCGAAAAAATAATGCCTATGGGAAAATGTAAGAGTAAAATTGGTCAGGTAAATTCTAGATTTAAAAGAATAAGAATGACCGAAACCTCGGAAGGCCGTAAAGTGCGACTTGAGCAACATCGAGTAAGAATGGCTTTGATAAGGGCTGCAGAAACAGCTTCATTACGTCAAGCCCACCAGTTTCGTTTCCGGAACACTGGCGGCGGTTTAAAATGCGTTGCAAAGACGACAATCGTCTATTTCCGAACGCCGTCTAAACGAACTTCGGAAAAAAGTTGACTTTTACTTTCTTCGCCGTTACTCTCCTTTTTTATAAGTTCCGGCCGATCGGGTTATTCGTTTGTGACGTCAGAAAAAACTCCGATAAGGTTGCCTGCTATATTCCGAAAGCTTCCGGAATGTAAAATCTTAAGGCCGTCGACAACCATTGTTCGGCAATTAATGATAATCCTTTTCCATTTCGATGTTTAATTTAGTCGCCGATACGGTTTAAAATACGAACAAATACAAATTTAGGAAATTTATACCGAATTTGAAGTTCGTCTTCGGAATAGATTTTTAAGGAATTATTCTGTTTATTTTAGTGTTATGTGACGTCATTTTTAATGGAATTAGTAAGCTCGGAATGCTAGCTTGTTCGCTATTGAGCATTGCACTAATTCAATATGGCTGCTCCCATGAAAACATGACTTTCTTTACAAAGAAATGAAAATGGAATTATTTTTCAAAAACGAAATGGCAGAAAATTTTTTTTATTAATAAATTTCAATTACAGTTGACCGTCCCATAACACTGTTGATAATTCCGTTTTATATGAATTGCATGTTGTACGAGTCACTTAGATTTTACAAATAGGTGATCCGTTCACAGCCCGGCACAGCATTAGGTTCTGTCATATGACGGAAGAATATGACTTCTGTCATATGACATAGAACCTAAAAGACACAGCAACACAGCCAATTGTAAAAAAATAATTTTTGTCGAATTTTTACTGACTTGTATCTTTACTTTCCAAATATGACTCATTTATAGTTATATTTTTTATGAATATATTTTTAGAAGTTATATCAAAGTGTAGATTTCTCACTTAACATTTGGTAAACAATAGTAAAATGGCAATTTTATTCCCAAATAACTATTAAGTATTTTTAATAAAATTGTAACTCATTTTCCTGATAAAAGGCTTTTCATATATTTATTATGCTGTAAAAATAAGATAATTATAATTAACATTAAAATATTCTTTTAATAAACTTTGTTTCTAATTTAACAATAAACTTAAAATATGTTAAATATATAATATACGAAATAGATTTACTTTATTTTACAGTTAAATAAATAATGAATTCTGCATCACAGAAAAAACTGAATCCAAGATGTACAATTACAAAACTAAACTATACAAAGAAAATGGAAGAAACAACAAGCAAAACTCTAACTTGTGATTTAAATCATTTAAAGAAACTTAATTTCTACTTAAATGAAAAAAATAGAAAAAGAATAGAAAATTTACAGCAATTGATTTCTACATCATCATCTGAAGATATAAAAAATGTTTTAAATCGTCAATATGAACTATTAATGAAGAAGCAGAGAAAATATTTCATTTCCTCTACTAATATGCGATATAAAGAAACACCCTCAGATCTGAAAAAATTTGCTATGAATAACCTTGCATTTGGGGACGAATGTTGGATATCCACATACAAAAATGAAATAATTGATTCTTTAAATAAGCATCAAATCATAATTATTAAAGGTGAGTCTGGTTATGGGAAAAGTACCAGAATACCATTATACGTTCAAGAGATAAATGAATTTTGCCAAGGAAAAAAAATTGCTAGTTGTCAACCTAATTATATCAATATATTAAGTTTATCATCCTATATGTCAACTTACTACAAAAATAAACTTAACTTGAAAATTGGATATGTCTTTGGAAAGGAGAATACTGTAAATAACGAAACAAACATAGTATTTACAAACTGTCAGAGTCTGTTACAAGAATGTATTCGTACTCCATATCTGTCAAAATATTTTTGTATAATAATTGATGAATATTTTCTTCAGAGTGCAGAGGCTGACTTGCTACTTTTGCATATGAAAGAAATACTTCAACAAAGATCAGATTTCAAACTGATTCTTATTAATCCTGCATTTGATATTACTGATTGTAAAAGCTATTTTAAAGATAAGCAAGATGTAATTACAATGATTTCGCTACCATCCTTAACATTTCCAGTGAAAACAGTTTATAACACTATTAGCAGCGATAAAACTAAATGTGTAGAAAAATGTGCACAATTAATAAAGTTTATTAACAATAATAAACTGGATGGAAACATACTGATTTTTCTCCCTAGTACAAAAGAAATGGAAAGCTGCTGTGAAATGGTAAAAAATGTATTAAAAGATAGAGTTGAATATCATATTTTACATAACATGATGAATCAAGAAGAAATATTTAATTTGTATGCATTTTCAAATATTAGAAGGAAAGTTATTTTTGCAAACCAATGTGCTGAATCCTTATGGTTACCTAATATTTCTTATGTTATAGATTCCGGTAAGTTAAAAGAAAGTAAATATCAATCAGAAAAAGAATCATATATTAGTAAATTCAACTCAGAGAGAAGAAAGAACCTTGCTGGGTGGTCATTAAAAAACTGTTGTTATAGAATTTACACTTCTGATACTTTGGAAGAAATGCTGGAAATGCCAATACCAGATATTTTAAAAATAGAACCAAGCCAATTACTTTTAACCTTATATCGTTACAAAATACCAAATCCTATTGATGCAACATTCATATCTTTGCCAGGTAACGAACATATTAAAGCAGGATTAAATAAATTAATAAAAAGTAAAGTAATTAAATCAAATTCTTTGACTACTCTCGGAGAAGATATGATTAATTATATGCCCATGCAAACTTCTCATGCAAAATTAATTGCATTAGGTAGAGAAAGGGGAATTGAATTTGAAGCTGTAATGATTCATACAATATCGTCACTTAAAAATCCAATTTTTATGACTATTGGAGAATCAAAAGATATTGGTAAATTAAAATTTTTTCATCGTTATGGTGATTATTTTGCAGTTTTCGATGTTTATTTTAATTGGATAAAACAAGTTAATAAAGAAAGATGGTGTGAAGAAAATGGAATTAATCACACTGCAGTAACTTATTTGCATGGAAAAATAGATGATACATGTAAAGTTTTTGGAATAAAACCTAAAGAGATTTTGTCAAATCTTGATGTAGTCTATGAATTAATATGCGAATGTTTCATTGATAACTTTTGCACTTACTCGGGTCATTCTACACTTGGTTATCAATCATTGGAAAGTGGAAAAATTTTACATATTCATCATTCTTCTGTATTATTTCACAAAACAGCTAGCCCAGAAAAGTCTGTCGTATACAGTAATATAATTGAACACAGGAAGAATAATTATATGATAAATATTACTCCACTTTCTGACTGTTTATTAGAAAAATTAATACAGAAGAATTTAATTGGAGAAGTAAAACACACTAAAAAATTAATTTCATCTGAGATACCATCGTTAGGAACTATATTGCTGAAGGAGTTTCTTCTAAAAGATAGAAAGCATCTAGAAAGTTTAGAGAATAAAATAAAAACACATCTCAGATGTGATACAGTAATAATTGATGCATGTGTAGAAAGTGACAGTATATTAGTATATACGTATCCAGAATATATCAATGAAGTGTCATTATTTGTTTCTGATTATTTAAAAGACTTTTCAATGAAATTAAGATCAAAAGAAGAAATTATGACTATGCAACTTGGACACTTAAGTATGAATGTGACAATGATCAAAGGAGCAGTTATAAAACATATTATTTTTTCAGCAATTAAAAGTAATGAGGAAGATACTGTATCAGAAGAACCAGAAAATGATTTTAGTTTTCGATATCAATATTCCATTAATCTTTCTTGGCAGAGACGCCATTGTCGAGGTGAAGGATTTGTCGCATTTTATTCATCCGAAGATTTTGCTGTTGCGCAAAATTATTTATCATCAAATCCCATGGTGGTAGATGGTGTAAATGTAAAAGTTTCTCCAAGTAGAAAAGAAGAAAATCAGTTTTATATAGAAGGTCTGAGTTCAAACACTACTAATGAATCTCTGAAGGAATCTGTTGAGAAGTCATTATCTGCAAAAATTAAAGTGAAAGAAGCTTCCATTGTTCTGGCTCAAGAATTTACTACCACCTCAGACGAAATAGAATTAATTAGGGAAACTTTATTTTTGCAGTTTATTTGCTATATTACAGGTAATCTTGAAGTTGAAGTGGCAGTGCCTAATAGTTTTGATATTAAAATGAGAGCATATTTAAATTTTGATAATGATGAAGATATTTCCCTTGTATTAGATGCAATTAGAAGAGATAATATTCAGTTTCAAGATTTAACACTGAATGCAATTCCTGTTTATCGAATGACAGTGATTTGTCCTTCTGATCAATATAAATGTATAAAATCAAATATTAAAAGAAGACTATTTGAAGAAGGTTTAGAAAATAGATTGAAGTTGAAAGAAAGTTGGGCATCAGATACAGTATTTCTTATTTTACTTTCAAATGATTTTATGATGATGAAAGAGGCAGAAGTATTAATTTCCACTGAATTGAAAGGGAAGTTATTGGAAGATTTATCTCTTGGCCATTTAAGGAAATTGTTTTCCCATTCAGGTAGACAGTGGTTGAAACAAGCCAGCAAAGCAACAGAAACATTTATAATTCAAAATTCAAAGCATAAAACAATTAGGATATGTGGAACAACTGAAAACTATGAAAAAATTAAATTGAAAATATATGATTATTTGAAGAACGTAGAAAATGAAGTAATATCTGTTATTAATATTAACCAAGGAGATATTTTAAATCGATCAGTAATTAAAGGTTTAATACAAAAGTATGGCATTACTTGCGACGGATTTCTTGAACAATTTCAATTAACATCCATAGAAGTAAATGTTCAATATGGTCAGCTGACATTGCATGGGATGTCAAAGTCTATTACAGAGGTAAGTTTCATGTTTTTTTTTTTTTCTTTTTTTTAAGAAAATGTATTTTCTGTAATTATTTAAATTCTAAAATTATGGTAAAATGTAGTTAAGAGTCAGTTTAAATGTTAATTGCCAAATTATAATTTACAAATAAATATAGTTAATGTTTTACGTATTTAAATATATTATCAGTAGAAATTTTTATTTAATATTATTTTTACAAGTATGAATAACAAGTAGTCATTATATTAGTATAGATTGATATGTATGGTTTTAAGGATGTATTAGAATAAATACAAGGAGGAAAATTATGATACTGTATGAGCAAGATATTGTATTTTTCTGCATATGACATGCTCCATCATTTATAGTGCCTATTGGAATAGCTTTTGCTCTATACATGTGAGTTTGTAATTGCAATTTAAAACCATTGTATAATTTGCTTTATTGTATAATATTCCCCTGTTAAATTGTCTTTGTTCTAATCTATGCAGAATCTGCACAAAAATGCAATATTTCTGATCTTGCAGCATAAATGAGGAACATAAGGTTGTAAAATAGAGTTAAGTCTTAAACTAAATACAGATAAATAACTTCAACAGTTTAATATTTCTCAAATCTTTTTTCTGATTACAATTATTATTAACTGAATGTCTTCTTCAATATATGCAAAAAAACCAAAAATCCAACAATTTAAGACTCTAAACTTTAATGTTTAAATAAAACGATTTTCAGTCATTTTTAAAAACCATCTTTAGGTTTGTACAAATAAGTTTTAATAAGATTCACAATCAAATGAAAAGTTTAAATTCTGAAAATTTTTTTAAAATGCTGTCTGATTGGATCTTCTGTAGTTGATGTATCCATGGTTCCTGTTATTTATTGGATTTCATATAGGGCTCTCTGGACCATAGACAAAGTATCATTTTCCTGTAGTTAATGGCCAATTTATTTTTGTTAGCTTTGAAAATCTCCAACTTTTCCAAATATCTAGGAATGGAAGGGTGTCTTGAGTAATGTAATAGTTCTCTCTGGTCTGTGTTGAGCCTGTATCTTGGTACTGTCTATGTAGACAGCTAATAACATCATATACGAGGAGTATCAAAGCACTACACTCAGCAGTGCTTTGATTTTTAAACTGTAAATCTTTAAAGTTACTTCTGATAATTTTTGTTTTACTACCTTATATTATCAATATTTTATATTAGTTAATTTGTTATCATACTAATAAAATATTAATTTTCACTATTAATTTTTTAAAATATCTTCATAAATTATTTTTCATAAGTTCAGTAGTAAATGCTTGAGCATTCCTTCTTATAATTTTCATGTTTAGTTGTTGGTTGCTAAGTTTTTCTCATTTTATTTTGAAAGGAAAGAATAGAAAGCAAGATTGGTGGATTAGTGCATTTACTTAACTATGAGAAATATTAAAGTTTGTAGATTATTTGTCTTTTTTTAAATATTAATTCTAGATTAATAAATCAGTAAAGTTTTTATAAGCATACTTATTTAAGTTTTTGCCAGTGCAAAAAGATACATAAGTAAATAATGAAATATTTTTAAAACTTTTCAAGAACAAATTTCTGTAATTTATAAATTAAGAATTCTACTTTAAATATATTTTTGTTTATTTTGTATAATTTTATTTCAGGCAGTTGAGTATTTAAAAAATATGTCCTGCTCTTCCACATCAGTTTTGTCTGATGAAGATAGATGTCCAGTTTGTTTCACAGTACCAGTTCCTGGCTTAAGTTATCGATTAGAGTTTTGTGGTCATCTGTACTGTTCTGATTGTGTAAAGCTTCTGGTTGCAGAACGGAGTATTCCACTGAAATGTTGTGAACAAGTAAGTATTAATATTGTGAGCTTTTAATTTGAAACAAGAATTAATCAATTCACCTTTAACAATGGGTGAAGTTAAAGGAACTTGGTTAATGGATCATCTTCAAATATGGATGGAAAGTGAAATCATCCCACTTTTGTCTGTCCATGCCTGAAGATATCTCAATAACCCTTAGGGATATTCATGATAGGACTTTTCTTACTTTTAGAAAAGCTGAATTATACAAAAACTGTGAATTGCAAACTTGTATGTAGACTGTGATGATTTCAGAAAAGTAACAAACCTAAAGCTTTTTAGTGTTGTCAACTATAAACATCATAATTCTCATTTCATTGTTATTGTAAATTTATTGGTTGACACTATTGTCTTTTAAGAAAATTATCTTAAGTTCAAGTTTGTGTAAGTTTAAAAATATCACAGCTAGTCCCTCCATTGGTGGATTTTGATAATTGGTGAATGCTGCTCTAAGGCAGCTTTCATTTAAGCCAATGGCTTTTGCCATAGAACCAGTGCTAGCAAAATCAAAGTCAAGAGAAACAGTGCTTTTGTGAGCTACGAAAGCTGGTATAACAAGAAAAATAATGGATTGTGACATTTAATTTTGTGATTAGTTCCATCGTAGGTAATAATAAAACCATATACTTCCAGCATTAAAATAAATTCTAACAAATATTAAAATTTAATTTATATGAAAAAACTGTCATATGAAAAAATTATGTATATAAATTAATTTTGTGATTAGTATGTGTCATATGTATACTACTCTTATTAACATTCCTTCAACTTCATCCATTATCAAAGGTACGCTTATTAATCCAACAGATTAACTACAGTGCTAGTTCATTCTTGTTTGAAAAAAGAATATTTTAATGAATTTTGCGTAAGAAAATGTGATTATAAAAAGATGATTTGTTTTCATAAATTTATTAGTTAAAATTTATTTTAATTTTAATCTGCAGCAATTATACAGCATATAATTCTGCTCTAAAATGGGATTAAAGACTACATTGCTTAGAAAATAAGTTTAGGAATTTGATAATTTACATATAATGAACATTAATATATGTATATATATATATATATAAATATAAATATAATGAACATTACATTAAATAAATAAAATTGTCTTTTGGAGTTAAAATTCTGTAATGATGATGAAATTAGTACTTTGATTATGATAGAATTATCACTTTAGCAATACATTAATATTACATATAATGAAGTATGCGATTGTTAAATGTCATATAGGAAAAAAAATAAACGAAAAACATCAGTCAAGCTGAATGTACTATATAGTTAATATTACCGTGTTATTATATAGTTTGCATTTTCATTTAGGAAGGTTTGGATTATTCATGTAGATTAGTTAATTATGTTAATTTCAAGGATTCTGTCATCAATCAATTATACATACAGCAACAGTGACTAACTATGCAGAACCATGAAATTTACTTATGTAAGAATAAGATTGTAGCATTACATTCTAGTTGTTGGAAGAAAACTGATTGTTTACATCTAGTTCTAATTTATTTAAACTAATTTAAAAACTTAATATGGTACATATTTCCATATTATCATGTGTCTAGCCTATATATTGGGGACAAAAAGTTTTACACACTTACAGAATGAAAGAAAGCAGATATGACTATATCACAACTATGAATTTAAATAGGATAGATTACTAAGTTTCTCCAGACATCAGTTCTGTTTTTACTTAATAAAAATTTGTTTTGATACTTTCAATTTTAAATCAGTAATGCATCTTACAGTTGATATGCTTTAGAAATTGAAGAAATGTAGTGTTATACATTTTATAAGATTATTAAGGCAATGCTTATTATCCTCTTTTTTTATTTTTGAATTCTTTTCAGAATTTCAGCAGAAAAAAACACTCATAATATTTTTATTGTGACTCCTTTGGTTTAGCATTTCTATTCTGACTACTTTGATCACATCTGCTTCCACTCAGATCTGTGAGAAACATGTCTCTATAGCCTTGAAGGAAGTTATTTATATTTCATTTACAGTTTACATATAATTTCTTGACACACTTTGAAGTCCCAACTTTGTGATCCCTTGATCAGATTTCATGTTAGATCTAAGGCCCTGATTCAAGCTATACACTGTTCTCCTATTCTTGGAGATGATTAATGTGAAGGGCAGGTGAACTGCTAACTCAACTTATCTTCTAGAGAAGCAAGATATTGCACATGATTACATCATTTTCTTCATCTCTCCCTTTTATTTGAATTCTTGATGACCAGACAAACCAATTTGAGACAATTAAGTCTCAGACTGATGATGTCTGATCAAATGGTTACTGTCCCGGGGTCAAAGGTGCTGGTTACCATTGCTGCTTTCTGCTTTGTTACCTTAGATGTTTCCAGGACCCATAAAACCAGGTCCAATAAAATATTGGTTTGCCTTTTTTTTCACTAAGCATAACAATTAATTAGGCCTAATCAACCATAACAAACAAATCAAGATGCCATATAAAGATAGGACTCCTGATCTTGGCACAAATATATTTTAAATGTTGCAAATTTACAATTTAATGGAAATTACAGTAGCCTATGAACCACCAATCTTATATGGTAATTTGGTATACTGATGGCCAGATGGCCTAGCAGTTCAGGTGTCAGTCTGCACTCTGAAGAACCCTGGGACAATTCCAGACGGGTCAAAATTCTCCAGGAATTTTTCAGGTCCATCCAAGATATGTCCAGCCCCGTCTTTACCACCCAGCCAGTTCAGCCAAACCCTTGATGGGTTTGATTAATTAAAAGGCATTTTTACTTGTTAGTGCCCATAGAGCAGAAATAATTCAAAAAGAAAATTTGTTTATTATGATCAGAGCCGTAACTAGCCATTCCTGTGCCCTGTGCAAGAATTTGCATTTAGGCCCCTTAATTTATTTGGTTTGGAAAAATAATAAAACAAATATATTACAATAGATTTTTAATAAAATTTATTTTAATTGAACTTTTCAGGCTTTCATTTCAGCAAATTTATTAATTACATTATCATAATTAATATTTTTAATGATATTGTATTCTATTGAAATAATAGACATATTAGACAATCGTTCTTGCCCTATAATTAATCTTAATAAATTTTTTATTAATTTTAACTTGCTAAAATTTCTCTCGCACGAAGCAATAGAAAGGGGAAGAGTTAGAAATATTAGAAGAGCGACATTGATATTTGGGTAATACTCAATTAAACCAAAATCATGAAAAGCCTGTGGAATATTAAGCGGAGATGTAGTTTCTATATTTTGTATAAGAGTCGTTACTTCAAACTTAAAACTTTCAATTTCACTTGTGAATTCGTACTTTTTTAAATCTTTACTATATTTAATAGCTAGATCTGCAGCTGATTTTTTTTTAAATCAGCAACACTCGTGTATTGTAAAGAAGAGCCATAGAGAAAGTAAAAATCAGCCTTTCTTTCAGTAGCATTTTAAAGACCTCGGGGGCCCCTGCGAGGTCCTACTCGGCTGCATAGTTCGCTTACCGCTTAATCCGCCATTGAGGTATACAACACATATGCGTATCATTATAAAGCAAAAAGTTATGTCAGAATTTCTGCATGCCTTTTACAATCTCGAGACATTTTTAATTTAGCAATTTAGCAATTAAAAAAATCCCCGGGAAGATTTATTTTTCTTACAAAATGTTACCTTTACAGATTTCTAGCTCTGCACACTGTAGAAAAATTTAGAAATACAGTTTTGTATATCGTAATAATATTAGTCGTCACCAGAGAGCTCTATAAAGTAGAGAAAAATCTATAAATTCAAAAACTATAAACATAAATATAAATTTATCAATAAATAAATAAACAAAATTTCAAAAATTGCTACTTTTGGCTGATTTGTCTGCGGTCTCCGCTATCTCACTACGTCCCTCTAAAAGTCGTCACGGTTGGGAAAACTGGTGAACAGACATCTAGGGTCTAAGTAAGGCTAAATGTAATCGCCAATAAAAAATATGAAAAATTTAAGATTTAAAGCTATAATTTCTTGTGAACAGCAGTTTGGGCCCCCCTTCCAAGTAGGCCCTGTGCGAATGCACCTGTTGCACCTGCCTAGTTACGGCTCTGATTATGATGTAATATTTGAAGCAGCAAATAATTGAATTAATTTAATGTTTTTTCCAATACTTCTAAAACTTTAAAAATTATATTTTTTTAAATTTTTAACAGTTAAATTACATATTGGCATTATACTATTATCATCTTTATATTTAGATACAATGGTAGATATCATAAATACCTGTGCTGTTTTTGCAAGTTTTGATGGTTCATTTTCACTATATCGAAATATAGTATCATCATATACATTGAGCAGCAATTAAATTTTAATTTCATCAAATAATAAATTTACAATATATTCATGACTTTCTACATACTTCATTTTATCCTGTAAATATTCTAAGCTACTTTCAATATTATTATCTGTAACAGTAAACTTACACATCCATTTTCTTCTATTCCTGGGTGGAGAAGATATAAGCATCTAAACATTTACTTTGATAGAAACATTCATTCGTCTTCAGCATTTAATGCTAACTTATAGCAGCAAATCTCAGTGTGTTTCCATATTATCTCCTATTATTACATGTTTTTTTTTAGCTAATTCTAACTATTTACAAATAAATGATATTCTGGAATCTGTGTTATCAAACGAAATTGATTGTATTAATATTAACATAAATATAAAAGTTTTAACTGTTATCAATAGTAAGAGTGGCTAAAATATATAGTGAATAAACAGAAATTTTAATATAATACAACACTAATTTTTGTTCATTTCATAATAATGTCCAATTACTTTTTCCCAGATCCTTATTTTGTAAAATGCTACAATGTCTTGGAGATTTATAATTATCCTATCTTCTTTGTTTTTTTTTATATTCCAGAAGAATTTCTTTTATTGTTTCTTGAAGATTTCTCAAGAATTAATACATGTTTAAAAGTCTTTTACATGTATTTGTGGTACT